ACAAATTATTGCATGATTAAAATTAGATGTAAATACAAATGTTTCTTGTTATCTGTGAAATTATTGACGAGTGCAGTTAAAATTAGGTAATATGATTAATAAACAGGTTACTCAAGATTAGAATTTAAAATTAACAAAATCAGTTTAAAAAATTTCAAGAGAAGGGAAAGTAAGGTTTTGAAACATCATGTAATGGCATCTAATTAGAAGGCCAGGGTGGATTTTAAGGTTGTATAATCTATTACTGTATACAAAGGTGTGTATTCCTATAGCTTTTGCTATATGTAAGAGTGAGATTCTAGAACCACAGGGTCAATTCTTTGGGATTTTATAACTTTGAACTCTGATGTGACCGGTATCGATTAGATGCACCAAAATAGAGCTTCTTATTACTTTTTTTGTTCTTTGGTCAACCATGAAGGGTAATGTTCAGAAATACGATTATGTATTTGTCTAGTTTTGCATCCAATAGCACCACAGGAGCAGTTGAAATTATTAATGCACACAGAGCTAGAGGAACTAGGCAATTTATCCCTATTTCATGAAAGAAAGTAGGACGTAATCTTGCCGCATTGAATGCATGTCTTATAGCTTTTCTATACGTCGAGTTACTGTTTCACTGGTTATATCACATTTGGGATCTCAAGGATATAGTTCTTTTAGTACCGTCGATGATTGTACTTTAGATTTAATGGCAGTCATATTTTTCATCAAGTACTTTGAAGAGTATCTGTGCTTACTTAATATATCCTGAAGAGATAATTGGCATAAGGTCTATTTCAGTCTCGGCTTTTCGTAAGTCTGCATCTCCTGATTTTGCCTCACTATATTTATTTGAACAAACAAATATTGGTACAAAGGGGCACCGAATACATACGCACAAGTCACTTGATTTATGTGTGAGCTATGCTACTGCTCGGGTTCAAAACGAAGATGGTTTCCTTTGGGGTTGGGGGCACACCAGGAGCCCTCAACCTGAAAATGTCTTGTCCACAAGGCAGTGGAGCAACGTCAGCGAATGTGCTATGTCTTGACAAGAATAATGAATGGTAATTTCGGGATCCATTTGTGGACCAATACTAAACGTATATTTTTACCGTATAATTGTTAATTAACTAAACTATTCATATTCATGTTCCTCTTATTATAAGTTTATTCTGACCTACGAACCATTATCATACGTTTTACCATTCTTGAATTATTCCCTGTTTATTAGTGAGTAGAAAGTCGATACCAATTAGACGGCGAGTCAGTTCGAAAAAAATGTAATCAGTTATTCACATAACTAGGCAATTTATCCCTATTTCATGAAAGAAAGTAGGACGTAATCTTGCCGCATGGAATACACGTCTTATAGCTGTTTCACGGGTTATATCACATTTGTGATCTCAAGGATATAGTTGTTTTAGTACCGTGGATGATTGTATTTTAGGTTTTGTAGCAGTCATATTTTTCATCAAGTACTTCGATGAGTATCTGTGCTTACTTAATATATCTGGCAAAGGAATTGACGACGTTGTTTACAAAGGTCTGGGAACTAGAGAGTGTACCAACGTTATGGAATGAGTCGATAGTTGTCCCTATCTTTAAAAAGGGTTCACGTCGTTCCTGTAACAACTAACGGGGGATAAGTCTGCTTCCGATGGCGTCCAAGTTGTTGGCTTCCGTCATACTTCGTAGGTTGTTCAAAACCCGAGAAAGATTTACTCGCAAGGTGCAGGCTGGTTTTCGTTCTGGTCGAGGATGTATTGATCATATCTTCACCCTCCGCCAAATGTTGGAACACCATCATACTGATCAAAGGCCAACCACCGTAGTGTTTCTTGACATTGGGGCTACCTTCGATTGGTTGAACAGGACTGTTCTCTGAGATTGTCTATTGAAGAAGGGTGTGCCTAAGAAGTTTATTGACATCCTAGAGGCCCTATATACAAACACCTCAGGCAGAGTGAGGGCATACAACCACCTCTCTCCACTATTCCATTCAAGCAGTGGAGTTAGGCAGGGTTGCCCAATCTCACCATTCCTCCTCAACCTTGCCATCGATGATATTCTGGAAACAGCTCTGATGGATGTAAGTAATGGTGGTGTGGATCTGTTACCTGGAGAAAGACTTCTCGATCTTAAGTATGCGGATGATATTGTCTTACTGTGCGAAGGTACTCAAGCCATGCAACCTGGCCTCTCCGAGTTGAGGATGTTAGACGGCACTCTGTTTGATTATTATTGTTTTCAAGGGTTGCTGACATTCAGTGGCAATACCATGTTAGTAATGCAGAGGTTCGGCATCATGTATCTGGACAGAACGGCGATAAGCCAATTGCTGTCACCATCTTGAAACATCGAGGTCGGTGGCCTGGATATGTACCACGAAAATCGTCCCAGATAATCTAACATCGTGCATTAGTTTTTGACGTTGGATCTGGTTGGAATGAGCGGAGATGGTCAGTGTGTGACATGGTGTCGCGGTGTGTATATGACTGGCTTCTGTCGGTCTTTCACGACCCCTTGGTCGGGGTCTTAAAAATGGTGTAACACGGTGGCTAGAGACGTTATCAGATATGGCTCAGAACAGGAGCGATTCTGCCGTGAATTTATTTTACTTCATAAAAAGGACTCGACTTGTTTAAGTGGAGGAATTCTCTGTGGTTATACATTCGGTAATTAAACTGTCTCTCCCATTATTATTTCACTATCATACTCTAATTTCTATTCATTGTTTTCTTGTACACACTTTAAATTCCTTCTCATCACATCTTTGTTATTGCGTGGCGCAAATGTATCTGGAGCCTTTTTGTACCAATATTAATGTGTCCCAATAAATAAACAACCTTATAGTAGTAAGCTTATTGTAGCGTCAAGTATTATTTGACTTTCAGTAACAGAACATATTATCCCTTTATCCATGAAGATTTTTTAAGTGTGATTGTGAAGTGCCAATGACAACTGAGGTTGAGATTATAAAAGTTACTTCCCTTAAACTTATTTGTAAAACTGTCTGTAACTGATTTAAATTATTATTAACCGTTTAAAGATTAAGCTAATTACACTCTCTTCTTATTTCAAAGTAAACTGATGTACTCATTTATTTGGTCACTTTAGGATCTTAGTGTTTATTACGTTACGTTGCCAAATAAGTCAATATTTTTAATAATAGGAAAATCGAGGCTTACATATTCTTTCTTGAAATACAATAAAAAAATGTTGTCAAACATGTAATTCACTGCATGACATCGAAAGTGTCCAACATAATGTAAAAACAAACACGACTGTGAAGTGAAGCCACTTCGAGAAATTTACGCTTCGTTTGACAGTGCAGTGGTTTAAGATAACTGAAAATAAACCTTAATGGGTTTAATTTAGAAATTTATGCTGATACTAACAATTGCATTTTAACTTCTAACAGCTGCACGGTTCTTGGTGCATTACCGATTATCACTAACTACAAGTTAGTTAGGTACTAATGCGAATATGAACAATTGAATTGACACTTAGTAATCCCCAAAAATATACTCACTAGGCATTTATTATGGATGACAGAAGACATGGAAATGGGCGGCTTTAAAAGATACTTCACGATGAACTGATTTATATATCTTCAAAGGTATTTGTAGGAAAACCAACCTATGACATTTTGTTGTTGACCTAATTGCAAGCTCCTGTTTGAATTATTAGCTAAAGACATATCTTTTCCAGTTCTTAGGTTATACTGGATTAAGCGACAACTTATTACACAATTTTGAACCAAATATGTCTGAGTTTTGCATATGTTATGATTTATTATTTATGCTGAGATATGGTCTCGTATTTTGTGCACATAATTACATGAATTTCAAAGTATAAATCATACAAATATAATAGTCCTATTTAACTAGGGTTGTAATTGCTAGTTAGGGGAACAAATTAAAATATCGTGTAGGCAGCCAATCATTTTGACAAGAAAGTATAATCTCACTCGAATATTTAACGTTTGAGACGAAAATTGAAGATTTATTGCTTTTATTTCAGAAATCTAGAGCTCCAGCACATTTTTATTAGACGCCAATCAAGTATAAATGAAGGAATGAATCCATGAAAAAGTTCTACAATTACGACCAACATATAATATTCACCAGGAAATTTTATCCGACCAGTTAAAATAACTAAGCAGGAGTTTCATTAAGTTTGTAGTAGAAATTCAACTAATTTAAGATGGCCAATCAGTACAATCTAGTTTAATAACTAACGTACCAGGTATCAAAAGTGAGTTGGTATGTAGATTGAATAAAAAAATTACTACAATATTGAATGTTTTAAGCACAACATATATCATTGTTATTGTTCATCAATAGTATATTAGAAGATAAGTAAAATGCGTTATAATAACTCTGTACAAAAAAATAATATATAGTTATCATGAGAATATTTAGAATCCCCAAAAATATTTATTAGCCCAGTCATCCAGGATTACCAATTCTTGTATTTAAATCACCTTCATAAAACTGTCAACGTGAAAAAAACACATTTTGAATGTTTAATGTGTCACATAATTATTTATGAAAGAATTAGCATGGATTAAAATACTTCAAATCTTAAATTTTCATCACAATTATTCGTGAGTTTTGTGATGTGATGACTTAACTTAGGATGTACTTGCTTACAGATCATATGGGTCGTGTTACTAGTGATCTTAAAAGTAATCAGAAGGAATCTTTGGAGAAGTTGGAACTTTTCAATCAGGAGTAACTTTAACGATGAGGCAACTGATGATTCCGATGTGTCAATCAGTAACAACACCCGAGACGAAACAACTGAACTATTAGGACCAATCCGATTGTTTGTAAGTCTAAGATTTCTCTACTGATTATTTTGTGAGTAGTAACCAGTATCGACTGCCTACAGCGAAGAGGCGTAAGAAGCCTTGATTAGCTAGCTGAAACCCAAATGGACGATAACTAATACGATTTTCTCACAAAAATTCCTATCTAAGGAAATAATGTAATAAAGCACATAGATTAATTTCCAAGTAACTATTGGTGCACAGATAGTGAAGAATGTGCCATGGCTAATGAAAGAATATATCACAACTGTCAAACAGGTCGAAGATTAAACTTACTAGCGGGAATTTAAAATCAAGGTGATATATTCAACTAATGATAATTGGCCAAGCAGTGTCATTCGTCGCTAGTGAAATGGAAGTTAAGGACTGTTAGTTTAGTGGACGATATTATCAAAGTAATACTTTAATGATAAAAATCATGATGACCTTAAGTGACGATTTACGAAAAATGATAAAAGAATTAAGATAGTGTGATTTTCAGAACATCAAATCAAGGGACTACGCTTTTTATTATTGTACTGAAATCTTAACACAAACTACAGAATATATTATATTCAATTATGAAATCAATATTACTAATAAAACTACCAAAACATTCTAAAGTAGTTTGTAACGAACTGTAACAGTTAAAAATGTCAATTAACTTTAGTTACTAAGTACAAAAAGAAAAATAACAGCCTTTTAAGCACTCGGTGAATAATGAGGAGGGTCTATGCTTCTCGAATCAGACTCAGATGCTTACACCTTTAGAATAATGTCTACAGAAGTCAAGTTAATCAGTAATGTGCAACGTCCCAACCGTTGTTGATAACTTGACGTGGTGGTCAGGGATGCCTGTCGCGATGAACCAAACGAGTTATACTGTCTGGAACAATCGTTCCTCAGGGTCCTACCATACCAGACATGTCGGTTGAAGAGCGATGAGACTAAAAGCAGCAAACCCATGGTCCGAGGGCGTACTGCTAGCTGTACGGACGTGTGACGACAGTAGGGTGTTTCCTTCAGACAACCAGCATAACAGCGATGTAGCCCTCCCACAAAGAAAAAGTGATATTAAAAAAGTTGACCCGAAAAATGCACATCACCTTAACCCACGGATATGCGTTTCCGGCGGTAAGGTCTCAATAAGTACGGAGGTAACACAAAAAATTACCCACAAAGAGTTCGCGTGTGACCGGTTCAGGCAGTTGTCCCTTGGGTACTGCAGTCACGCTTTCGGGTCACTAAGACCAACTCTAACCCAATTTCCTTTTCAGGTACAGGTGAGTAACTGGGAAGTGATAACCGCCCCCATACCTTTAATAGCACTTATAACCAGTGTATTCATAATCAATCTACTTCTTTAATTCATATTATTCCTCCCACCTCGACTATCAACTCTAAAATTCCTCCTTAAGTGTCACCGTGCCCGATGATTCTAGTGAGAGAAATATTATCACAGGTCTATTGAAACTTTGCTCCACACCACACATTGGAGCCTTCGACGTACGTATCCTATGCCAAGTAGGCCAGCAGACCTCCTTCGCTAAGACCCTAAGTCTCGTTCCACTGATTTATGCTGTATCTTCGAAACACGTAAACAGGATCCTAGTGTGATCATTCACTTGACCTCACCTCGGCAAAACGGAGGGCCGACGAGATATACACTCAGTTTATCTGACGACCCGGCGGGCGTTCTCGTGGACTGGCGATTGTACGCATAGCACTACGTATGAGGACAGAACAGGCACTATTAGAATGGACACCTGTTAACAGCCGCCTATATGCTGTTCGGCTAAATGGATCCGTAAGAACTCGGAAGGATAGGGACATAAATCATTGCCTTTTCGTCGTTTCTGCCTATGCTCCCACTGACTGCAGCTTGGATGAAGTCAAAGATGAATTTTATAAAAAGCTTTCTAAACTTGTTCAAAAAGCTAAACACTCAGTACTCACAAATGACTTTAGTACCAAAGTAGGTAGCTTAAACTAAACAGAAAGAAATTTAGGTAGGTATATTGCTATTCCGGCTTAGCGAACAAACAATGGTGACCGTCTGCTGCAACTGTGCTCAGACGATCATTTATTTTTAAAAAGCACTAATTTTAGATATTAGGAGAGACATAGTCTAACATGGTGACCCCCTGTACCAAACCAATGAAGGGTTTAATAAGACCATATTGCTCCTGTTCTGAGCCATATCTGATAACGTCTCTAGCCACCGTGTTACACCATTTTTAAGACCCCGACCAAGGGGTCGTGAAAGACCGACAGAAGCCAGTCATATACACACCGCGACACCATGTCACACACTGACCATCTCCGCTCATTCCAACCAGATCCAACGTCAAAAACTAATGCACGATGTTAGATTATCTGGGACGATTTTCGTGGTACATATCCAGGCCACCGACCTCGATGTTTCAAGATGGTGACAGCAATTGGCTTATCGCCGTTCTGTCCAGATACATGATGCCGAACCTCTGCATTACTAACATGGTATTGCCACTGAATGTCAGCAACCCTTGAAAACAATAATAATCAAACAGAGTGCCGTCTAACATCCTCAACTCGGAGAGGCCAGGTTGCATGGCTTGAGTACCTTCGCACAGTAAGACAATATCATCCGCATACTTAAGATCGAGAAGTCTTTCTCCAGGTAACAGATCCACACCACCATTACTTACATCCATCAGAGCTGTTTCCAGAATATCATCGATGGCAAGGTTGAGGAGGAATGGTGAGATTGGGCAACCCTGCCTAACTCCACTGCTTGAATGGAATAGTGGAGAGAGGTGGTTGTATGCCCTCACTCTGCCTGAGGTGTTTGTATATAGGGCCTCTAGGATGTCAATAAACTTCTTAGGCACACCCTTCTTCAATAGACAATCTCAGAGAACAGTCCTGTTCAACCAATCGAAGGTAGCCCCAATGTCAAGAAACACTACGGTGGTTGGCCTTTGATCAGTATGATGGTGTTCCAACATTTGGCGGAGGGTGAAGATATGATCAATACATCCTCGACCAGAACGAAAACCAGCCTGCACCTCGCGAGTAAATCTTTCTCGGGTTTTGAACAACCTACGAAGTATGACGGAAGCCAACAACTTGGACGCCATCGGAAGCAGACTTATCCCCCGTTAGTTGTTACAGGAACGACGTGAACCCTTTTTAAAGATAGGGACAACTATCGACTCATTCCATAACGTTGGTACACTCTCTAGTTCCCAGACCTTTGTAAACAACGTCGTCAATTCCTTAGTCAGAAAGTCACCACCATCTTTGAAAAGAGCCGGTGGTTAGTCATCTGGGCCCAGTGATTTTTAGCGTTTCAAGAGTTGGAGTTCCTTGCGGACTTCCGCCTCATTTGGTGGATCAGTCGTCACGGACCGATGTTGCCGAAGCAGCAGGCCAGTTGAACTGCCCTTCAAAAAATTCTGCCCATCGTCCAAGACGTCGATGGATGTTGGTGATTGGCATCCTGTCATCCTCGCAGATTGTTTCGTTCACATCAGATGTCTTGCTTCCAGTGGCTCGGATGAGTTGGAAGAGCTTCCGGTAGTTACCAGATGCAGCTGCTGCTTCCAGTTCATCAGTACGCTCCAACCACCAGGCTTCTCGGTCCTTACGCAGGCTTTGACCGATTTCATTACGTAAAATCCTTCGTTTGTGTTCAAACTCACGGTCACCCAGAGTAGACCGACAGGCTTCGATGAGTTGTAAGGAGCCTGAAGAAACCCAGTGATTATAAGCCGGATGTTTCGCGAAGCCGCAAGTGGCTTTACTCGCCAGCGGTAGCTGATCGCGATGTGATCAATCTGAGTCCAGGCTTGAGATGCAGAGGGAGGATGCCAGGTGGCACATCGACGATGACTGTGCCGGAAGTTAGTGCTAGCCGAAAACAGGTTGTGGTCTGTGCACAGTTGCAATAAGCGGTCCCCGTTATCTGTCCTGCGACCAACAAGTTCCCATCGGCCACCAAAACATAGCTCTTCTGTGTCTAGACACCCGACCTGAGCATTCAAGTCTCCGGATAGTACTACAATATCTGTCGAACGCACTTTCTGGAGAAGAACAGTTAACTGGTGGTAGAACTCATCCTTGATTGCATCCGGACTGTAATCTGTCGGGGCATAGGCGGAGATGACGAAAAGACATCGTTTCTCACGCCTATTTCTTCTCACTTTGATGGTACTTTCTAATCCAACGTCACATAACCGACTGTTAATGGGGATCCAATCGATTAGTGCTGCCTCAGCTCTAGCGCTTAGTGCGACACCAACGCCAGCAAGACCAGACGAAGATGCCACACGGTCCCCGGATAAACGCACGTAAAACAAGCTTTTTGAAGTGACAGATGGAGAGCGAATTTGTAGCACTTCGCTAGAGTCTTGAATACGGGTCTCGGATAGACAACAAACGTCAATATTAAGACTTTCCAAAGACATAGCCAGCCCTATCTGTTGTTCGACCTGCATAAGGGTGCGAACGTTGAAAGCAGCCAGTTTGAATGGTGCACGTGGTTTCAGAAAAACTTTCAGTATTCTTATTCGGTGGTAGCATTTAATTTTCGACCTGTCAGTAACTGGAGATCGTTTAGATAGAACCGAGTTTTCACCATGGGCTAGCTGCTGTATAAGTCAAAAAATAAGGATAGACAGAGTAGGAATAAACGAGAGAAAA